TTATAACAGTGCGTTAATCTTTAATCTTTCATGACTAAACTCTAAACTACTATTCAGAGCTTCCACTAGTATGGTTTTCAGGAACAGAGAATCGTGAAGTAAATAATAGTAAATAACACTTAATATTTGGTTGCGTATCCCTTGCTTGTAATTACTGCATCAAGCCTGTGACTCACTGACATCACCAACTGTTGGTTTCTTCTTTTGTGATGCTTGTCCAGGCCTTTACTGCAGCCTCTTTCTGTTCTTGTTGGTGGTGGTGGTTTTTGTTCTCCCTTCAATCTACTCTTCAGAAGGTGAAATGCTGCTCAATTGGGTTAAGGTCTGGTGATTAAACCCCCCCCCCCCCCACCTTCTCCGATAAAGTCCTTTTGTTGTCAGTGTGTTTTGGGTCATTGTCTTGGATTTCTCTGTAAATTGGCAGACAGAATGTTTCTGTAAACTTCTGAATTCATTCGGCTGCTGCCATCATGAGTTACACCATCAATAAAGATTAATGAGCCTGTTCCAGAAGCAGCCATGCAAGCCCAAGCCATGACACTACCTCCACCATGTTTCACATATGAGCATGTATGTTTTGAATCGTGAGCAGATCCTTTCTTTTTCCTCAATTTAGTTGTGGAACTTTTGTGGATAGTCTCTGTATTTCTTTGTGAATTCCACACTGGCTTTCCGATTGTTACTGTTGACGAGTGGTTTGCATCTTGTGGTATGGGCTCTTTGTCAAACGGTGGATTGTGATACCTTCACCCCTGCCCTGTGGAGGTTGTTGTCACTGACTGTTGTCTTTATTATTCTTGTTGTTTCTTCTAGATCACGTTTTCCAGCTGAAAGTAGTGGTTTCTTTTTTGTATTGTCTGTGCAATGTTTGTTCAATGCCTCTGATTGATTTCCCTCCTTACTACAGCTTCAAAATGGCTTGTTTTTTTTCCCATAGACAGCTATCTGATCTTCATGTTGGCTTATCTTTTTAATAAAGAAAAACGCAATCTTCACAGGTGAAAATAAAGTCTAAAACCAAGAGTCGATGTTCAGTACTATTTATGGCTATTTACAGGGCAGCTGTGGCTCATGTGGAAGAGCGGGCTGTCCACTAACCGTAGATTTGGTAGTTCGATTCCCTGCCCACATGGGGGAGGGGTGTAAAGTGCTTTGGATAAAAGCGGTATATAAAGTGTACCATTTACTGTTTAAACAATCAATCTAACAGGACACACTTGGGTAACAAACACTGGTCAGTAATGTTCCAATATTTTTCCTGACCTACAAATTGGGTGACATGATACAAAATGTTCTATGTTCTACATTGTTTTCTTACATCTACATGTAAATACCAGCAAATAAAAACAGAAAATGTATTTCATTATATTTATTTATTATTTAATACATTTCATATTCATCTTTTGATCTCAAGCCCAACAGTTTTCAGTCTACAGTAAAAACGATTGAATTGGCCTTGCCGTTCTAATAGTTTCAGAGGGGACTGTGTTTATGGATATAACTCTGATTCCATCAGGAAAACATCACTAAATGTACACTTTGTATATGTGAATCATGTTTGGACCAAATGAACGTGTGTGTAAGTGTGTGCTTACTTGTAAGAAAGTCTCGTATTTGCTGAATGAGCTCCCGTAGCTCCTGATTGGTCTGCTCAACTCTTGCTGTGCTCTGATTGGCCTTCGATAGGATGTCCTGTGCACTGATTTTACTCTCATCTGCACGTCCTTGAGCAGCGGACACCTACATCATGGAAACATGTAAATAGATTATAAGATACATCAAGTTTCCCAACATTTGTAGATAAACCATTATTTACTGTCGTCCACTACTTCTGCTTAGTTAACACGCACTATTCTTTGGAGCTTTTCCACTTCTTTTTGCGAGTCCATGATGTCCTTGTCCAGATCTTTAGCTTTTTTCCATGCGTTGTTAGTTTGAGTAATCACACCTTTACAGTCCTGTCCTCCGCACTGAGGCTCTCCATCCTCACCCACACACCCCAAACCTCCACATTCTCCACAGCCGTCTTGGTTCCACTCTCCACCACACACCTTCACAAAAACGGAGAGAACTCTTAGTTCACAAAAAAAAAGTTTAGCATGCTCACTAGTGTGACCACAGTTTAACAGTTTTGTTCACAACAAAGCAATGGATGATCCGCAAACCATTTATTTTGATTTTATACCAATACTATTACAAGTAACATTTCCTCTACAATGCCCAGTGTATCTCATCTTTACCTCTGTTTCATGTCAAAATAATAGCAATTAAAAAAAAAAACTGAAACAACCTGTAGCTACATAATCCTTTTCATAATCTTATTTTTCAAAAATTCTCAGGTTGGTTTACCTGCTGGCTGAGTTGTGGAAGGTCATTTTGCTCCAACTCCTTGTTCAGTGTGTTCAGTATCTCAGAGTCCAGCCGTTGTTTGAGCTCAAACTCTCCCTTCACGGTGTCCAGTTTGGCCTCTGTGGCTTGCCGTAGACCAGCTGACTGCTCCACTGGGCTGTGTGTGTCTGTAGTGGCCTGATTGACTCGGCTCTCTGCCTCTACTGACTGCTGGTAATATTCCTTAATACTGTCTACTGCACCTGTAAAACAGCAAGTCACATCTTACCATCACTCAGGGTATAATGAAATGTTATTATTTATACCACAGTGCTGTTGAATTCTTGATTCTGATTGGTTGAAAGACATTCTGAGCTATGGAATTATTTTTCAGTAAATTCCAGGCAGGTCCTGACCGCATTACAGCTCAACATCACTTTTCCCAGTTAATTGAAACAATGGAAAAGTTAGCCTGCTGTCCACCACAGCACACGCATTTAACAACAAACAAAATGACAAACAAGTTTGATTTTCCAGAAATAAGTAAGTAATAATTGAAGACGGGCCGCTGAATTATTCGAAAATTAATGCGCACATGAGGCGGTAATGCGGCCACGAGGCGATGCGAAGGCTTGAGCCATTGATATACAATTATGAGAGAGAGAGAGTGCGAGCAGGTGTGACTGTAGTAATGAGACAGAACAGCTGGTTAACTAGTATCAATGTTTACCCCGTGAACAAGTAGACCTATCAGTATTTACAAAAAAACTGAACTTGTGCTCTCACGCTCTCTCTCTCTCTCCCTCCCCAATAACAGCATATCAGTGGCAGAAGCCTCCGTTACTAGTTTTAAAATTAAATTTTAGAATTAGCAATGGAAACTTTAGATGGGTTGTGAGATAAATTAGTTCCACACATGAGCGTTGTGAGGACAGAAAACTGACAATATATTTTGAAATAAAACCTCTGAACAATGTCTTGAGGTGTGGTAACTGTGGTATTAACGGAATAATTGTTTCTGATCCATTTTATTAGAATTATTAGAAAATTATGCGCACACGAGGTGTAACGTAGCACTGCCACATATTTTGTAATAATTCAATAATTCGGACTGGAGTCAATTATTCCTTACATGTATAATATTATCTATGTTTGAGTTGGTTTAGTGCTCAAAATATTTTCATCTGTTGTCATAGTCAGAGTTAAACCGGAAGTGGACGTGGTCTAACCCTACCACTATTCCTTGGAATCACTATAAAACACTTAAAGACTGGTCTAATTTTATTAGTTTTTTTATTGGGTATACACTGTGTGTGTGTGTGTGTGTGTGTGTGTGTGTGTGTGTGTGTATCTATCTCTCTCTCTCTCTCTCTCTCTCTGTCTGTCTGTCTGTCTGTCAATCATATCCTAGACATTACTTTCTACATCACAGTGTAGAAGTTGGGGTAGGCTAATACTAAATGTAATAAAAAAAAAAAAATCACTTCATAATCTTTACAATTATATTGATGTGTGACATGGTCATGTGTTTTGGGTGGATTCCACACAAGTAGTTGAAGTGGTGAGGGCATGCATTTGTTATTATATATGAATTTGTATATATTTGAAATAAATTAATCAACTGTAAATCTCACCAAATTATTTTCATTGCCATTAAACTTCTTTATGACAAGTCCACTGAAAATTATCAAATAAGAATGCTAGCAATAGGAGGAAAACTATCTTGTCATGGTACATATAATATAAATAAGGCATAATCCATGCCTAGGTCTGCATTACATGATCAAAATCATTATACCTTATACCATGGTCACTTTTTTGCAGCGCAAAATTCCTTCTCAGGATCTAGAATACTAACAGTAGTAGAAGCAAAGAGAACCAGAAAGCTTCTTCATACCCACTGGGTCGGAGTGTTTGATGTTCAGCACCTGTTGCTGTGTGGTATTAAAGCTTTGTTGCTGTTTCTGAGTCTCCAGACTAAGTGATTTGAGCTCCTCCGCAACCCTGCCGTGTTCCTCAGAGACCTGCTGTACGTCCACCTCCGAGCGGTTCAGAGAGCGGTCCAGATCAGATGTGAGTCTCCTGAGATTAACACAGTGAGAAACATTTCAAAAAGCAGAACATGAGAAATGTGATGGAGAGGGCAAAGGCAGAAGGACAACCATGGTGGAGATAGAGCTTGAGAACCTTAGTGGAAGTGGATGACCACCTTAATGGGGAAATAGTTGAATTCATGAACATTTAGCCTTTACTGAGATTTTTCCTGTCTGGGTTTTGACTGTTCCGAAGTAATAACCATATTAGTAAGCTGAAAATGACACTGAAGTGGGGTTTCCAATAATTTCACAATACATAACGCACATCGTGATATCTAGTTTTACAGATACAAGCGTTTAGAAAGAGGCAGAGCATATAAGCACAAAATGAAAAAGCCTAACCAACCATGATGTAGTCCAGTGAAAAAAAAAAAAGCTCAGCTCTTGCACAATAGTAAAACTACTACAGATAAAACAACAAAATCATATGAGTCAAGATCATTTTAAATGTTTAATCCTGTACATTTAGTGTATTTGGCAGGTGCCCTTATCCAGACTTACATTAATCTTATCTCGTCTTTATTTAGCAGTTGAGGGTTAAGGGCCTTGCTCAGGGGCTCAACCAGCACTACAGCTTGGTAGTGCTGGGAATTGAACTCAGGACCTTCCGATCAGGAGTCCACTGTCCACCACTGAGCTTCCACTGTCCACTGTAGTGTATGTCTGATCGAGGATAAAATCATGATCTCTGCCTCCAGTTAAAATCATTGACCAAATTGAACCAAAAGCAACAACAGGTTGCATATACATATACGAAATATCTGATACATTTCATTTTTTATTAATTATGAGCAGTGTCGTTTAAGAACGATAATTCCGCATGTTTGTCAAGGATGTCCACAACTTGGGTAAATATAAGTTAACCTTAGAAAATTAGCTTTTTCAAATTATATGGAGTTCATGCCTTTATGGAGGTAAAGGAGATTTTATACAAGTCTTTGCTTAATCCAGCAGATTGAAACATTTTACTAAGGTAGGGCCAGGGGCGCTCGTCCTCAAGTTCAACACTGCAGTCCGGTGGATTAACCATCCTTGTACTTGTACGGATTGATAGCTGTAGTGTCACATCCACCGTGGACAATTCCCCCAATTCCCCCCCTCCCTTTTTTTTTAGTGTTTGGTTCTTCCATTCCCTGCTGGTTTGTTAGTTGTTTATTTAATAAGCTTATCTGCATTTATATCCTTGCATCCTGGATTTGTTCCATATAGCACAAACTTCATAGTGTAGCATGAGAAGGTTACAGCAGATTACAAAATTGTGATTCTTAATAGTTTTTTTTTCTACGTTGGTGAACTTGATTTTATGCTTTAAACTAAAATGACTGGATGTTAAAGTTGTTTTGCTTGATTTACAGTTTAGTGTACAGTCACTGGCTTGATGAGAGAAGAAGAGGGCTTGGAGACCTGTAATGAGTAATTTGAAGATCTAAGTGGAAAATATAAGGAGTAAAAAGTATGTATTTTTTTTCTTGGGAATGTATATAAGTAATAGTGGAATTTAACTTCTTATTAAAACCAGTATTTATTAAATTGAACTTTCTATCCCTGCCTTATCATTATGCAATAACCATTTTGTGTCATTGACTGTTTTATAAGATCGTAGGTTTGGGTTTTTTTGGTGTGTGTGTGTGTGTGTATGTGTGTACATACTTTGCTTTCTGCAGAAACTCTTGAGAGTGTCTAAGAGTTTGCTGAGCCTTGTCATCCTCTAGTATCTGAGTGAGCTTCTTGGCTCGGTCTTCCAGATTGTCTATCGTGTCCCGATAGGCTGCGGTCACACCTGTCTCTTTCAGGTTTTCCACAGTGTCCACCAACTGCTGCGTCTGATTGGTCAGCTCGCCCACAGTGACCTCCCATTCACGGAAGCACTGATGACACGGCTGGCAGTCTGGGAAGGTTCCCACATAACCCCGCCCACATGAGTCACACCGCTGACCGGCTGCGCCCTCCACACACACGCATGCTCCTGTTGACTTGTTACACTGTGGTGTAGAGGTGCCGCGTGGATCACAGTCACATGCTGGAACACACACACACACACACACACACACACACACACACACGTGTTAATGGACTGACCACAGCTTGACGTTCAAAAACACTAAGTGAGTGAAAAATTGTGTGTGCGTGTTCTCACAGCTGTTTTGAATTTATGGTGGGAAAATGTGAGCTGGAATCTCTGAGTTGAATTCTTCTAGTTTTCAGAAGGAGCATGACCAGACCGTGTGAGTGAGTAACTCTCAAGTAGGAACATTACTGCCTAAAAATACACACTCGAATGGAACTTAAATATAACCTAGACTTATTTCTCTTAAATCTCTGCCACTTTCGATGTGGAACGTTTACTTGCATGAGTGCAAACACCACAAACAATAAGCTGCTTTACAGTACAGTGTAATCCTGCATTTTCAGTGAATGTTTATTAATGTTTGTTTAATATTTTCGTGCTAGCTGCTAGTAGAAATTTCTGACTTAAATGTGCGTTAGGTACGATTGGCCTCTAATGCTTAAACAGGTAGAATTGAATAAGGTTTAACTGATTATTTTTCATCCTAGAGTCCCCCCCCATTCCTGCCCATGTACACAAAGCTCCGCCCCCAGAAACTATAGTGGTACAACTAGAGTTAGCAATAGAATAATCATGACATCACTTTCAAGCACGCTTGGATATTCAGCTTGAAAGGGAAGTTACAAGTCTGTAAACACGCACAATTCCGCTGATCATGATCTATGAAGATATCCCAAAGTGCAGTTACTGTTCTTTTTACTTTGTAATGAAAAGCAAAACAAAAAACCCCCACACTTGTCTACTTGATTTGTTATAGCCATAACACCTTCAAAAATAATAAATGAATCCATCTGGGAAAAGTACTGGCAGAGTGTATTCTGCTTTTTCTGTGACTCTTACATTTTTACTAAGTTTTTTTTTTTGCTCACGTGAGAAATTATCTGGCTGCACTGGGCACATGCCGATTTGACAAAGATGGGGCAGAGTAAAGGGGTGTTGTCTGCCTATAAAACGACTGACAAGTGGCACATCCAAATCCACGTTTTCAGGACATGAAGGTGGGTTTTCAAATGATTTAAAATGCTGAAGTCATGTCTTAAACCATTATATTTTTTTTGTAGCATTTCTACACATTCTACATACACAGTATCTCACGAAAGTGAGTACACCCCTCACATTTTTGTAAATATTTGATTATACCTTTTCATGTGACAACACTGTTTAGACTAATGCTGGCTGGTTTTCTGGAAAAATGACACTTTGCTACAATGTAAAGTAGTGAGTGTACAGCTTGTGTTACAGTGTAAATTTGCTGTCCGCTCAAAATAACTCAACACACAGCCATTAATGTCTAAACCACTGGCAACAAAAGTGAGTACACCCCTAAGTGAAAATGTCCAAATTGTTCCCAAAGTGTCAATATTTTGTGTGGACACCATTATTATCCAGCACTGCCTTAACCCTCTTGGGTGTGGAGTTCACCAGAGCCCACCTCCATGCTTGACTGTAGACAAGACACGCTTGTCTTTGTACTCCTCACCTGGTTGCCTCCACACACGTTTGACACCATCTGAACCAAATACGTTCCTCTTGGTCTCATCAGACCACAGGACATGGTTCCAGTAATCCATGTCCTTAGTCTGCTTGTCCTCAGCAAACTGCGGACTTTCTTCTGCATCATCTTTAGAAGAGACTTCCTTCTTGGACGACAGCCATGCAGACCAATTTGATGCCGTGTGCGGCGTATGGTCTGAGCACTGACAGTCTGACCCCCCACCCCTTCAACCTCTGCAGCAATGCTGGCAGCACTCATACGTCTATTTCCCAAACACAACCTCTGGATATGACACTGAGCACGTGCACTCAACTTCTTTTGTCGACCATGGCGAGGCCTGTTCTGAGTGGAACCTGTCCTGTTAAACCGCTGTATGGTCTTGGTCACCGCAATCTTCTTATAGCCTAGGCCACCTTTATGTAGAGCAACCATTCTTTTTTTTTTCAGATCCTCAGAGAGTTCTTTGCCATGAGGTGTCATGTTGAACTGCCAGTGACCAGTATGAGGGAGTGTGAGAGCGATGACACCAAATTTAACACACCAGCTTCCCCTTCAAACCTGCCACATGCTCGCCATTAGCCCATCAGGGAACCAACATTCCCAGTGTATAAAATACTATAAGTTATCGTTTTCTGAGCCTGCCTTTGATCAATGAGTATGGTTACAAATGTGAATTTACTGTTTTTGTGTTTGTAGTTAATAAGCCTTGTTTCAGAAAAATGTAAGTGCAAAAACTATAACACTAGGTTTAACTGTCCTGTTTCTCTGAGCCTGTGCCCGCTGTTGCATCTGATACAGGGGGGAAAAAAACAGACAGCCAGCCAGTTATACAGAAAGAAAACCAGCCAGCATACAAGTAGTCTAGACAGCTAGACAGACACATTTTTAAACTCACCATGACACACGACTTCTGGATCACCCCAGAACAGAGCTCTACACTCCTCACAGGTCCTGCCACCAAAACCTGGCATACAGGAGCACTGACCGGACATCTGAGGAACACACGTGAGGAGTTTAGTATGCACGACGCTGGCCAAGAGTAAGCAGTGAACAAAGTGAACCAGGCTGAACATGAAGGCTAGAGAATGACCTTGTACTCAAATGGCTAACATTGGTATGAGTCAACAGGAAGAGAGGAATGAAGGCATGTTTCCCACTCAGTGAGAACACAGCCACTTGTGTACTGATTTTTGTGAATGACTGTTTTGCCGAGGTTGAGAGACCAAAGACTGACACTGAGCCACTTATGGATGCTAAAGTAAGATCACTAAACCTGAATGGCACTAAGCAGGAATGGCATGCTTGTAAGTTGCATTGGATAAAATAATTTGCCAGATAAATGAACTTTACATTTCCTGGCTTTGGGATGATATGTATGTGCTGCCCCCCCTTCCCCCCTTTTCTTTAAATATAAACTTTAAATGATCTGTGAATTCTGGCTCGGACAGTTCTTCACCCTCCGCTACATCACTCGAGTTCATAAATGGTTTCGACTAGGTGTGTGCGGAGCTGTTCTCTATTTGTTTGTTTGTTTGTTTATTTATTTAATCCCACTCATCCCACGCAGTTATTATTTATATTTGCACCTGTCTGATATTTTCTAATAAATGTAGTTCTACTTCCCAAAATCTAAACAAAGTAGTAGCCTAATTCAAACCACTGCAATCTTGATCAGGCAGTTACTAAGGATGAATGAATAAAAACCGAATCTGTTTTTTTTTTCTTTGTGCTTCATATCTGCCCATTCGCTCACACCAGCGTGAAAGTGAAAACCTCTGTTCCGTTACATCCCCGTGTGTGTGTGTGTGTGTGTGTGTGTGTGTGTGTGTGCGCGCACTCACCCTGTCGCAGGACAGGCTGTAAGAGTGTGTGGGATGACACTCGCACAGCTGGCAGCCTTTTCCACTATAGAAATTCCAGGTGTTTGGGGCACAGCGGTCACAGTGCAAACCCTCTACACTGGGTAGACATGGGCACTGCCCACTCACTTGGTCACACTCACACTCACCGTTTACACACTTGTCGCTGTCAGTGCCCAAAAGCTGGCACATACACTCTAATCTCACACACACACACACACACACA